AACTCATTCAATGGCAGAAGAGCTCTGGATTCAGACAACTGAAGCATGTACCTTGGCAAAGAGGGTAAGAGTATGGGCAATAAAGGTCTTCCATCTCTTGTAGAACCACCAGAGACAATGGGCATAGGATGGCAAGAAAAGACCAAGATCTAAAGTCCTAAACRGGGCTTCCAAAGCCAGAGGCACTTGCCAAGAAAGCAAAGAGCAAATTCCACCCCCGCTGGCTGGCAGGCCCACACACTCTGCTTACCCTGTGAAACAGCCAGCTCGTGCTCTCCCCACCCCCAGGCTCAGCTATGATATTTGGGGTAGAGAGAGAATAGCAACACTGGTGACTTTTATAGGAGCCTGCTTTATAAAAATAGAGCCTCCAATTTTAGGACTAAAATCAAAAAGAAAAATAGCCAGAATTAGAAGTTTGTTTTAACACAATACATTGAAAATTACAAGTTTAAGTGCTGGTAGCTGGGGATGGGGATCACACCACCACATGACTTCTCAGTGAGTCATAAAAAATAGTACAGGCTTGTTAACAGTGGATGTCCACCAACGCCAGGCTTAAGGAGTCCACTGTGTCAGGTGATGGAAAACCAAACTGACACCCCTTGCGCATTAGTTTCAGCAGTGGCAGGACTGACACAAATGAACTGCAGCAGCAACTACAACACAGAGCATTAATAGACCTTTCGGAGGCTGGTCAGAGGGAATGTTGATTATGCGACTCATTTTTTAGAAGTTAAATCAGTTAAAAGGAGAGAGAGAAAAAACTTCTAAACTATTAATAAATCACTAAAATATTTATGAATTTCTAATGCCCATTCTTGATTAACACACCCTTGTGTCAAAGCAAAAGCCAAATGCAGGTATTTAACAGCAAGGTGCTACCCTTTAGTTATGAGAATCATTCTGGTGGAATTAGATGAGAACAACAAAATTCACCTTCAGGCCTAGATGGATACTGTCATGATAATAAAGACCTCCCGAAAGGGCTTGTGGGTACCAAATTACATAACAAATTCATTTGTGCCAGGCAACCAGGATTAACTCCTATTCACCCAGGTTTCAACTCAGTACTGCCAATGGGCTTATCAAAATGGAAGAGTCATTATCCACCACTGCTTAGCAAAAAGCACAGTCATCTTTCTCACTACAAATCGGTTTGCTGACATTAACTGCTCACTGCAAGAAGTCAAACTTAAAACAATCTTAAAAAACTGACGCTGTTTTCTTCCAGGCCAAAAAAATGTTTTTAAGAACCAGAAAAGAAAATGCTTCATTACTTTCTCCCTCAGTAAGTTTTTCTGACTGAATTTTTAAGTGTGCAATGACATTTTTTTTAATAAAACACTTTATTCTATTATATATTTAAGGTTTAAATGAATGACAATAGTATTTATTTGTAAAGAACACAAACATTCATGAGTCACAAGTAAACAAATATAACAAGGGAATAAAAGAAACAGGACATTACTGCAAGCTCCAAGAAGGGAAGAAGAGTGTAAGACAATGTGAAGAAACTCCTAAGAAACACTTTCTAAAGAATCAAATGAAAAATAACCACCTACCATGTACCTACTGCACTGCACAAATCTTACATGCACATTACACATCCCTTTTTTTCCTATCACTGAGCTACAACCCAGCCCATGGTGTGTGTGTGTGTATGTATGTATATGTGTGTGTGTGTGTGTGTGTGTGTGTATACGTAGACACACATATGCTTTTGAGAGACACAGTCTCACTAAATAGCTGAGGCTGAGGCTGGCCTTGAACTTGCAATTCTCCTGCCTCACACCCCCAAGCTGCTGGGACTATAGGTGTGCACCACTACAACAGAATACTCATCACTTTTACATAATAATATCCACAAATACTTCCCTAAGGTTTACTATGTACCAAACTATATTTTAAAAGCATTTTTGCACATACTAACTAATACAACATCCCAATAATCCACGCAAAGACCCCAGAGGGTAGATGTTATTTTCACCATTTTATAGATGAGAAAATTGAGGCATTAAGTGAGAATAATTTGCCTAAAGCGACACTGCTAAAAAGTGGCAAAGCTAAAATCTAACCCCACGTTCTACTCTTTCTTTTAAGGAAAATGCTTTCAAAGACATTTTTTTTAATGCATGTTTTTAAACTGCCTCTTTCACAAAAAGCACACCACTGTAGGGTGGCATTCTGTATGTTTTGGTGCTCCATATCTTTCAGTTACTCAGAATGAGAGCTTGAACTAGACCAGCAGCTTTCAAACTGCAGCTACAACCTTCAGTGAGAAATACATTCTACATCCTGACTTAATACACCCATGTAAACACATGCATGACCTAATGAAGTTTCACACAATAATATTTACCCTCCTGTGATGCACTCTGATTTATCATATTTCTTTTACATTTCATTTTTAAACTGGTTGGTATGACCCTCCAGTGACATACATGCATAAAATGAAAATCTCAAGACCAAATTTGAAGGTTTCCTCCAACCTCTTATGTGCCAGACACAATGCTGGACATTTTCCAGTCATGATAGCATTTAATCTCCACAGCTACCCTGGGAGGATGGTACTACTGTTATCTCTGTTTTACAGATGAGGAAATGAGCTCGGAAATAAAGCAGCTTACACAAGTCCCTACTCTATGACAGAGTCAAGGGAGCTCAGCAAACACTCCATCGGCTCCCCAGTTTCCAAGTGTCCTTTCATTTACATGGGGAAATGTGTCTATTTCTGGCCAATGGGCTGTAGGCAGAAATGACTCAGTGACTGCAGGCAGATGTGATATTATTTTGAGGCCCAGGCACAGATTTGTCACATGACATCTCACCCATCTTTCCCCCTTAGTGAGCTGAGCCAGTGACCCAAACTATACAAACGGTACCATATGAGATAGTGGAGCCTTCCTACGTCAGCCTGGGTTCCTGTGTGGTTGTATGGAGCAGAGCACTGCTCTGTCTACTGAGCCAAATGGAACAAATCAGTTTTTATCAGAATAAGCCAGGTTTTTAAGTTCTAACTCCTGAGTATCTATCCTTCCCCAATCTACAGTGACTGACTTAGTTCAGGCCTCTGCTGTCTTTATTGTAATACCCTCACAAAAGGTTTAACTGCTTCCAGTCTCTCCACACTGCCACTGTAGTAAACACACACACACACACACACACACACACACACACACACACGTGGGCATGCCATGTCCCTACTCAAAATAAATTCCCCTTCATATACAGAACAAAATCCAAACTCAACAAGGCATACAAGGCTCGTCTGGATTTGTCCTCAACTGCTGTCATTATTCTTCCCCTTTTATTTCAGGTATCTCAGGCACATTGCAAATCTGCCATTCCCCAAGACGTCAGGGCCTCTCCTGTCAGCTATAGGGTTATATGCACCATCAGTACTGTTGGGAATATCTCTTCATTCCCTGTTCTCTAGTCTTGGTCCTTCGAATCTAGCTCAGCTTTTCTTCCTACAGGACTCCTTCCTGCTGACCAAGTGTTTCTATGCCTCTCAGTACCTTTTTTTAATACAACTAATTTTTTTATAGTATTGATTTTACAACCTTAATTGTTCTTGTTTCTGATGTTCCTAAAATACTATAAGGTCCTGAAGAACAACAGGCGCTCCAATTTGTTGGAATGAAGAGCTGGCAGCATATAAATACATTTCTTCTTTCGAAAACACTACATATTTAAATCCTGGGGTCAAACTATGCACGCTTCTCTACGAAGATCCTATGTAATCCTGAGAGGATTACATTTTGGAGGCCAAAATTTTCTAGCTTATAAGACTGGTTTTGAGTTTCAGAAGTCCCCTATGAATGATTCACATTCCATCTAGGAAAGCCAGTCCCTCATTCATATACTTCTAACTGAAAAACCACAAAATCTGGCTCTTTTTAAGGAGAAAATATCTTTTTTATCTGTTTAGAAATCTTGAGCAATGTTAAAAGTGTGTTTCTAAAAATTTTTGCTCTTTTAAGCTGTTATGGCAATCGAAGCTCTTTTGCTTAAGCAGGTTTTGTCAGAAGTATTAATGCTGGAAAGCTTTAGAATTTTGTGTTGAGTGAATCAATTTCAGCACTATATGCAAATAAGAAAGGGGAGTGGCTTGGACCAAATTACTTACTGAGAACAAAAAAAAAAAATCATTCCTTCCAAACAGGGGGAAAGGCAACTGGAAAGATTTTAACCTGTTGCATAACTTTTTATTAGCTCTTTTCGCTGGGTCAAGCAATAGTTGAGAACTATATACTCAGAAAAGCAAATGCTCTGATAGATTGAGCAATTTCAGTTCTTTGCCTAGGGAAGTTTTAAAGTTCGAATTAAAGATTAAATCTTCAATTAAGTGTTTCTTTTTTTTTTAATTTGAATTTTCCAGGAAAGTTCAAGTTTCCAACATCCCCAAAACTCTTTATTTTAGAAGCAAAAAGATTCTAGATGAACTGAAAGTTTACTCTACCTTAAGAAGATCATGATAAGTGGTCCTGGAAACAGCCTGGAAAGGTACTGAACTCTACTACCATGTTTGTACAACCTTCCTCTGAATTATGTATCATCTTTTTAACTGAGTGGTTTCATATGCTTATACTTTTATGGAGATTATACTACCACGGAGATAATTATTTGTATGACTGGGAAAGAATCTTCTTCTTTCATGTGGCTCTCATCTCTAAAAACCCTACTGCTCAGCTGCCCACAAGAAAGCTTAACCAATACACATTGATCCAATGGCAATTTCCCAAGGAGAGAAGGAAATAAATAACCCCACTTTAAGGGCTTTACAAAACCTAGTCTGTAGAGCAACGGCAAATGTCACAAACCATGCCCATTCCCTTTCAAAATTCATCCAGACTCATCAATCATTGTACTAAGGGAATGGACTATTTCAGAAACCTGATATATATCTGCCCTGAGTAAGGTGGTCTTGTGAGTTTTACATCCAAGGAGAGAGGTAAACTGGTTACAATTCAAATAAAATTGCTGCAGATGCATACCATGAAGTAGATCTTTCTGGGAATGAAGATTTTTAATCCGGCAAAACAGCCTTAAAACCTGAAGTGGTGTCCCACGCTGGTAATCCCGGAAGCTATTCCCGAGGCTGAGGGAAGAGGATGGCAAGTATGAGACCAGTCCCAACTTAGCAAGGCCATTTAGAGAGACCCTATCTCAAAAAAAAATTTTTAAAAAAAGGAATAGTCTGGGGTATAGCTCAGTGGTGCAGTTCTTACCAAGCATGCATAAGGCCCTGGTGTGTGTGTTCATGTACATGTGTGTATATATACATATATATATGAATGTATATGACCTTAGGTAAAAGACTTCCCCAATGTACCAGTAACTCAAGTCACAGCCGTTTTCAGAAGACAGTGTGAATAAAAAAAAAATCAAAATTATATAAGGATTTGAAGCATGGAACACTAAATCCCACCTCAGCTGGGGAACATAAGAGGAGTTTCTCATTAGGAAATCATACAGAGGGCTGGGGGTGAAACTCAGTGGTAGAGCACCTTCCTAGCATGCTCAAGGCCCTGGTTTCCATCCTCAGCTCTGTCAAAAAAAAAAAAAAAAAAAAAGAAAAGAAAGAAAAAAGAAGAAATCTTATATATCTTATATTACACAAATGAAGTAGAAGATAAACTTTATGCTACATCATTATCACCATTTTCCTCAATATTAAACTAATCCTGTAACATTTGGCACAGAAAGGAAATAGACTTGAAAACATCTTTATAGCAATTTTCAAAAATTATCATTTGAAACATTAAACAATTTATAACAGGGAGCAATAATAAATCCATGGTCCTTTATGCCGAGTAAATTTGGAATAAGATCACTTGAAAAACATATACCAACCACCAAATGTATGTAGATGATTAGAGTGGTAAGATACACAGAAAATATACAGTAATGATAGATAAAAAAGGCTTAAAAAAGCAGAAAAATCAAGAAACACAGACTACATCTGGAAGCAGCTTTCCCAACCTCTATTGCTCAATAGAGATTTCAGTTTTATTCTGGGGGTTTACTGAAAAAAGCACCTCCCACAATAGATGGTATCATTTTCACCACTACTAGTCTGCCTTCAAGATCTCCTCATTGCGTTAAATCATGAGCAACAGGAAAGAAAGTGAAACAAGATTTTTAAAAACTGTCTGCCTCAGTGTTTAACTTCACTTTAGGGCACATGTGTCACTGTCCTTCTAAAACAGTTACCAGCAGTAAGTAATGTACAGGTTGGCTCTTGAGATGAGGCAGAGCCTCCGGCTTTCAGAGCCTTGAATCCGTGCCCTGGCTTGTGTGCAAGAGAAGCAGTCAAGGGTTTTTCTTCTTCTTCCCTAACAGAGCAAGTCAGACCCTAACTTCTACCATAGGAGTCCCAACATCAAAGAGTGAATGGAACTAAGGATCAATCCAGGTAGCAGAGAAACTGCTAACAGTGAAGGATACAACATTATGCATTTTTTATTGTTTTAAAAAAAGGGGGGCACAGGCTGGGGATGTGACTCAGTGGCAGAATTCTTGCATAGCATACACAAGGCCCAGTTTTGATGCCCAGTACTATACAACAGAAAAAAAAAAAGGCAGTGCTATTAATGTTTATGACATTTAAAATTCTATACAACCTATGAATATTTTTTCTATGAAAATAAAAATTTGTTAATTTGCTTGAGTTAGAAAAGTCTGTAAGCCCACTCAAATTTGGACCTGCTGGACTGTGGCCATCACCACAAAGATTTAACATTAAGATCTGGCACTGCACTAGAATTAATGAGTCTTTAAATTTACAAACTTCAGCCATTCCTTACCACCTTTATGATTTACATGTCCATTTTCCAACCCAACTACTGTTCATGAGATTTTTTTTTTAAGCTTAAAACAATTCTATCTACTTTAGCATTATTCTAAGCCTAAATATCCAGGTGGACACATGTGTCATATTCTAGTTATGTTTTCAGTAATACATATTAAAAACTAGAATAAATTAAAAGTAATCATCACATACCACCAAAAATCATCTTGTATACTGTCAGTGACACAAAAATACACACCTTTGAGTGCTCATAAGAGCAGCTCATATACTGTAAGTGTAACCAAAGCCATAGAGTAACCAAAGCCACACTTCAAGAAATTTAGTCATTTGTCACAGTTAAAGGCTGGGCGCAATGGCACAAGCCTGTAATCCCAGAGGCTTGGGAGGCTGACGCAGGAGGATCACAAGTTCAAAGCCAGCCTCAGCAAAAAGCGAGGTGCTAAGAAACTCAGTGAGACCCTGTCTCTAAATAAAATTCAAAATAGGACTGGGGACATGGCTCAGTGGTCGAGTGCCCCTGAGTTCAATCCCTGGTACCCTTCCCCCCMAAAAAAAATCAGTTAATGAAACAAATTCAAAGAGGGGATATGACCTGCCAAAAGTCACACAGCAAATAATGGCAGAGTCCAGGCTAGACTCAAGGACTGCCCAGTGGTGGTTCTACTTAAGTACTCTCCAGAGTACTTAACTGAGCTAACCAAGTTAGAGACCAGGCCTCAGTAGAGTTTGCCAACAAGTGAGACTAGTCAGTGAGCCCTCTGTGTGTGGATGTGGGCTTTTCACTTCTCCTAAGAAGCAAATTCATAACATGGCACTTACCAGCTGACTCTCTTGTCAAAGATTATCTGGACCTGCTAAAAGAAAACCTTGTTTCCTTCCMAAGTCTCATGTGGTTTTGCCCAACTCACTGAACTTTAAGGCATATGGCCAAAGATTAAAATGTCTCCTGGATCAGTTTCCCAATTTTTGATCCAACAGTATCCTGACCCCTTGTCCCATTGTTAGACTCATGCAGGCTCTATAGGGTTTCAARAGGAAGGTTTTCCATCTCTGGGTTTTAGGCCAGCTTTGGAAACAGGCTGGAAGTTTCCATTACAGAATCACTCATGTATTTCCCAGATACCCAAAGGGCAGGTTTTATTTTCAAGCGATAGATAACTTGTATCTACTGTGTGCCTAGCAATGTTTTATACACTGCCCCATACTTTGACTATAGGAAGAGGTAAAATGACATAGTTTCTAGCCTCTTGAAAGCTGCCAATCCAGGTAAGCTTAGCTATGTATGCCATGCAGCTAACAATAACTAATATTATTAAATGTTTATCTATATGCAAAGGCCCTATGCCATGTCCTTCAAATGCATTATCTTATTGAATCTTCACACTTATTTCCAGAGATTACTGTCAATGTACACATGATAGAACTGAGGCCTCGTGATACATGGCTCATTCAAGTTCAAATTGCAAGTAGGTGCTGAAGTTTAGACTCAAACCCGGATTGACTCTAGACCTAATCTCTTCACCAATGCACTATATATACCTACACTGTTTTAAAATCATATTAAAAGGTAATGTAATATCTGTATATCTAATTTCTCATTATCTTTTTTCTTCTATTAGGGAGGTCTAGAATTAGTGCACCAGCGTACTGTGAAGTTTTAAGAATATAGCACATTCTGGGAATGCGACCTCCCCGCAATCCTCTACCCCAATGCTGGGGATGGAACCCAGGCATATGCTAGGAAAGTACTCTGCCACTGAGGTACATCTCCCATCCTAGGAATGCCATTTATATTGAGGGAAGTTCACTTCCTGTAACCTGAGTTATTCAACTGTTTGTAGCACCCTGGGTATCAAAAAATACCATCAAATAATAATGCACATTGCTAAGTGTCATCTAAATTAACTGTAGGTAGCCTTATTCCATTACAAAACTGGAGGAAAATGTGGTATAATAAAAAATATGTTCTGTCTTTGTCCCTCATTCCTGGCTCCTGCCAACTCCTAAAACTCTTGGAATTTCCTGACTGATGTGTCTTTTATTATTTAAGAAACACATTTTGGACACACCACAGAAAAACAGGTCCACATTAAAGCCAACTTCACTGATGCTTAGAAGCCACTTCCCAGGCTTGATCTAATCATGAAATCTTCATGTGTCACCAATTCAGAGCACTGCTGAATTTGGCACTAGTAAGAAATCACACTCTTTAGGCAGATTCACATGCACCTCAGTAGAACACAACATGATACCAGGCATGGTTTTGCATGATTGTGAAAGTACCTACTCGGGAGGGTGAGGAAGAGGATCATAAGTTCAAGGTCAGCAGTGTGGACAATAGTGAGACCCTGTCTCAAAATAAAATAATAATATAATAGGGCTGGAGGAAAAAAGTGTCRGGAGGCCCCTCTGGGGATGCAGCTTAGTGATGGAGTAAAGTCTTATATCCAATCCCCAGTACCACCAAAATTAAAAAAAAAAAAAATTAAATTAATTTTTTAAAAATGCAGACATGGTATTTTTAAAAAATTTTAAAAATTGCAGACAAGTTTTACAGTGATTTATTGCACATTTACTCTAGTTTCAGGAGAGAGTAATCATGTATAACCTCAAGAGCTTACCTGTTCACACTGAACTGCAGACATTATTATGTGACAATAGTCACTATCTATTGTTCTCTTCCTTACGCACACTCTTTTTTTTTTATTTTTAGGGGGGAGAGAGAGAGAGAGAGGGAGGGGGGGGGGGGGGGGGGGGGAGGGAGGGAGAGAGGGAGAGAGAGGAGGGAAAGAATTTTTAATATTTATTTTTTAGTTTTCGGCGGACACAACATCTTTGTTTTGTATGTGGTGCTGAGGATCGAACCGGGCCGCACACATGTCAGGCGAGCGTGCTACCGCTTGAGCCAYATCCCCAGCCCTACGCACACACGCTTAACCCAAACCTTAACAGATCATTATATTTCCCATCTTACTTACCAACTTCTGATTTGTGAATATAAAGTCCTAAGTGACATAAATCTAAAAGAGAAAGCCAGCACTCCATAAGCAGACCATCACAAATAACCAGGGAGTCTTTAAGACCAAGCTAGTCAAACCAACCACTACATCCCTGCACTCCTCTCTCTGCAGCAGAAATATACCTTCCAATTGGGGGACAGAGGACTTGTGGTCAGGGCCCTGATGGGGGCCAGTATATTGCATAACTCCACAGGTCTCTGTCCCCCTCCTAGTAAATGGTATTCCCTGAGTTGGGCAATCATGTGGGACTGTATCTTTCCTACCCAC